ACAGACAGACAGACAGACAGACAGACAGACAGACAGACAGACAGACAGACAGACAAGAAGGTAGGTAGGTAGGTAAGAAGGCAGGCTGGTATCAGGGTAGGCAGGAAGGTAGATATTAAAGTAGGCAGTAAGGCGGGTAGGTAGATAGGTAGATTTTAGAAAAAGCATTACAATTTTGAACAAGCAACATTCAACTTAAGACTACACCACTTCACTCACCAAGTAACTGTAATCTGGACACCAGGGACAGACTGGAATGGTTTCTGGACAGTTCAGAAAGGTCAGGGAAATCTGAAAACATCCGCACTTTTCCTGAAGACCAAAAGAAACATAATAAAACAATTTATTTATTTTTGTCAGCAGTTTGTCAACGGCAATGAGATACACTATTAGGTAAAGTTGATAGCATAAAACTATCAAGAGAGTCACAGTACATAACAAATACAAGGACAAACAACAACAACAACAACAATAACAACAACAACAACAACAATAGACAATGACGTTGAACTCACGAATCATCTGTACTGATGCCGGGAAGAATACATACACACACACACACACACACACACACACACACACACACACACACACACACAAAAAAACAACAACAACAGAAACAACAACAGCAACAACAACTTGCTTCTTCTTTCCTATCAAACATATATCGTCCTTATCTCCCCTTCTTGTTTTTTATGTATGTTACTCTCGTGTAACACCTCTAATCTTCTGGGGCTCATATGACCTTATGCAGTTGCGAGCAACGTAAAACCTCTACAAAAATTAAAGAACTCACGAATCATCTGTGCGGAAGCCGGGAAGTACACATGCACGGTGGGCCGGGTCCGGATCCTAGCCACGCCCACAGCCACGGCGACCAATACCAGTGTGGCGAACAGGAACGCCGCGAGAACCCGTGGCCGTATCTTTCTTCTGATTGGCCGGTGTGATGAGGGGGCGTGTCTTTTACAGGAGGACGACCAATCGGAGGAAGAGATGTGGGAATCTGGTTTGGACTTGAGAAGTAATCGACGGTGCGATTGGTTGAGGGAGGAGGAAGCGTCATGGTTGTTTGATCTGTGTTGTTGATGGATTGATGGAATCTGTACGAGAAAAAAAAATGAACATTTAAAACGACTGTTATTATCATCACCACCACCATCATAATAAACCATCATCATCATCATCATCATCATCATCAGCAGCAGCAGCAGCAGCAG